TAATTACAAAAATTCATTGTCCCACAGACGGGAAAGGGTAGCTCTATTTTTTTAGGTTACAACGTCGACTAACGACATATAATTGGTGGTGATCGATGGCGATTAGTGGTGGTTGATGAAGGTTGGTAGAGGTTGCATCAGTCGACGGTGGTCGTTGGAGGTCTAATGTGGCCTTTGGCGGTCGACGATGTCGAAGGCAGTCGGCGATGGTCGACGACAGAGGTCGGCGGTGGTCGGGAGCGATCGACGGTGATGCTGAGCTACAACTTCTCCTCAAGACCTCAGTCTCCAGACTCTCTCTTTCTAGACTTCAGATTCCCCTCATGTGAGGGGTGGGAGTCTATTTATAGTGGGGCGGGGCTCTATTTATAGTGTTCTAGGTGCAATTAATACAGGAATATCAATCATTTTGATCGGACGGTCCAGAGAGTTTCCTCTGATCTTGTCGCGTTTAACGGATATTTGAGTGCCTTAACGATGTCGGAATTGAGTGATCTTGGTCTCGTTGGATTCGTCTTGTCGAGCCCCTCGATTCGAGTATAAAGTTGTCAATTTCAACATCTGTTTGACCTTCCAAATGTGTCCAGAAATCTTCTAAGGGTGGTTTAATAACTTGATATGAGCTTGATTTGACTCGGATTGGACTAGTTTTCATATCATTAGGTCCGTCTCATCAAGCCGGTCATTTTAACTATAAGTTTGTTGAAATCGGAGTTCTGGATGACTTTTATCAGGATTTAAATGTCTCTCGCTTAAAATATCGCCTGGAGATTTGTGTTATGCTTCGAGATTCATGTCAGATGACGAAAATTTGTTAGTGGTGTATCAAAGATGATGAATTTTGCATGGTAGTTAAATTTTTTAAACAATTCATTTAAAGTTTTAACATGATTATGACATCAATCATCAAATGCTTTGTGGAAATTAGTAAACCACAACATTATCTTATTGTGGAAATTAACTCATTACTTGCGTGATTGATACACAGACTCAAATCCTCATTTGAGCGACATGTATATTTGCATGATCGCCGCCTACATCATTGCAGATCGGGCATCAGGAACAAAATTACCTATGTATTGATACTTATTTATTTAGTTTATAATTTACCAAAGAAGATTTTAAATTTTATGATGGAGCATTATATATTATCTATTTCAGCACAAAATATATCTAAAAAATTTGGAAAAAGCGAAGTGGGCTTCGATGTTGCATGAGCTTTTGATGGTTGACTTGACGCCCATAAATAGCATGAAAGATTTACACACGCCATGTCCAATCAATTTTTATGTATGTATTTGTCTAAATATTTAAACTTGAATTTTTAAATTTACATGTTATCTTATCTATGTATGAAAAATTATATTTCATTTTTTAAAAATAAAAATAATTTCATTTTTTATGTGATATTAAATATTTGAATATTGTGTATGTAAATATGAAAGTTTATGTGTGAGTATGAAAATTCTAAAAATGAGAAGGAAAATTATAACTAAACAAAAGTGTGAAAACACTCAAACCTTCTCATAGACAAATGAGTTTCCTCATGTGTTATTGATGTGTTATTGTGTTATTATAACACCAAGAATATTCTCATGACACAATAACACCTGAATAACACAGTGGAATATTCCCGACAGAGAAAAAAGCAACGCAGTAACACAGAGGAATATTCTCCCCCTTGTTATACATGTGTTATTGTGTGTTATTCATGTGTTATTGTGTTATGAGAATATTCCCATGACACAATAACACATGAATAACACCGGGGGAGAGGGTCGCGTGTGGTGTCGTGACGTGATTTCATTGTCTATGCACGTTATTCTACGTGCATAGTACTAATGTAATATTTTTTCCATGAGATCTGTATATTAAAAAAAAAAGAAATTATTTTTTCCATGAGATCTGTATATTAAAAAAAAAAAAAGAAAATTTTAGGTGTTTGCTATGTAAATACGCAGAAATTGGTGGTATACATGTAAGTAAATGCCCCAATTTTTAATGTCACTAGATCAACAAATGTTCAGCTTCAAGATTTGTAAATGATTAGAGATAAGTTTTTAAGATATTTAAAAATTGAAATCACTTTTATTATTATTTTAATTTTAATTTTAATTTAATTTTTATTTTTTAAAAATACGTTTATGTACTATAATTTTTACATAATTTTATTTTGCGTATTTTTAAAAAAACTCAATAGGCATAAAATATATTTGAAGTAACTTTTAAAAATAGTTATCATAACTATATATAATTTAATTCAAACCAACATAAACTTAAACATAAACAAACATAAATAATAAACGAAAAAAAAAAATAAAATAAAAGTAATTTCAAACAGCTTAAGCAAACGAGCAGGCATGATAATTGTGTTTCATGTCCGCAAGCACGACCACTGGCGATAAACCGGCCGTGTGATGTGAAATGTACGGTGGTGATGTGGCTAAATCATGGCCAAACATAATAATATTCCGTAAAAGAGATGAATGCATGGATGCGCCATCCTTAAAACAGCTGAGACATTCTCACAGGAGAGTTAGGAAAGCAGATTACCAATATCTTGAAAGGGGGAACGCCATTGGCAGGCCACAACATGCTTCTCCTTCACAACTTGCAATTCCGAAGATTTCTTCTTCTGTTTATCTCTGATCTTTAGCTGCTTCAGTCTGCAGATCTCTGGATCCATTTGATGGGTCGAAGTTGGCAGGGATGAAGCCTCAGTTTTGCGAAGATCCTTCGCCGTTTTTTCTGATTCCAGAGCTCTTTTCTTCCACTCCAACATCTGGAGATTAGAGCTCATGAGCTGTTTGGGATCATTCTTATATCATATATATATATA